CCCCAAAACCCCAAAACCCCAAAACCCCAAAACCCCAAAACCCCAAAACCCCAAGTAATCTGTAAAATATTGAAATATAAATAACCATCTTTTAGGAGAGACTTAGCCGCGTTTTATATTCTTAATGGTCGATGATATCTGTTCATACCTCATCATATGATCCTTGCTACAAGATTAAGCAGAGCCATACAGGAAATGGGCTGTTTTTGAATCAATCCTCCTTCTTTGAGATTTCACTTTCAGTCTGATTATTTCTAATGTTTAGTGATTAAATTACCATAAACTCTATTTGGAATTCTCTTTGCTCTATAAATATTGTGCAGGAAATTACCTCTTGGTATTATGTCTCTTTATTGACTGTTCAAAATCCCTCAAACTTTTCCCGTTATGGTTGTTCCTAGGAAAGGTTAGAGATATCTACCAGTGCTTTACCTTGCTGTCAGAGAACCTTTGATTACTCCAGCAGGACCATGAGCCTGGAAAATCTTATTCTACAATCTTATTTTGAAGAAATACCTTTGAAAGAGACAATTTTTTCTTGGAATTTTTCAAATTGTTCTTTGATTTAGGACTGCTTTTGTAAAAATTTAGCTTATTCTGCTTCTTCTGATCTGGATTAATAGTTTTATACTCCTCGATATTGAATTTCAGAGGAGGATTGTGCAGCAAATCTTTGATAGACTCTATACTTCATCCAGAGGTTATCCATACTTTTGAGATGATTGTTGTACTTTAAATAATTAGGTTTTCTCTCAGTCAAAGATTGGACACGGCCTTCCTTCATATAACTTTTCTGAATCTTTAAGGATTGTATAGGACCTCTCTGGGTGTTTTTGAACTTAATAAAATCCACCTTTCTGTTCTTCTTTGGTGAATGGAGGTCTATAACCATAAATATTAACCATTACCCGACTGTTTTGCAGTATTTCTGGAGAATTGCATACCTTAAGGGAGGGTAAACAGAAGATTTCATTAAGAAATAATCCTGAAATTACCTTTTACTGTAAAATCTAGAGTCACATGCTTATTTTTCTTTGGAATTTGTAAGCTAAAGTAGAATCATTAGGTCTTAATACCTTTTAAGGAGCACCTATAGGTTTATAAATACCAAAGAATACCTTCTTGAGGTACGGAGTAGCTAAATCTGCTTGCTCAGCTATAACATTGGGATGCAAGAACTTGTTGCAAATATTTCCTAAATTTTGAAAATTATTCAGCAATTTTTTAATATAGAAAAAGGAATTCCTACGATTTGGGGAGATCTTTAAGTGGTCAATCAACTTTAATTTCCCTTTAATCTTCTTAGAAGCTGGCTTTGAACGAAATTCAAGTCCTCCTAGTTCTTTATCTGCAAAAATATTGTCCCTTGAAATTTGTGAAAGTGAGCAAGAGGTGAATATTTGATTTTGGTTTTCAGGCTCATTAATCAGAAGCAATCTTTCAACACCTAGATCTTCAAGATGAAGAATATCATCAGCAGTCTCAAAGGAGAATATGTTCTTGATAGGATTCCAATAGCTGTCGAAGAGATAGTACAATGAACTTGGCGATAGTTTGTCTATAAGCAGAAGCTCTTTAATCTTCTCTATCTCATCTTCACTTAAAATATCCCTAGAGAGAGGAAGTTCATTGAGAGGATATTTGAATAGCTCTGGCATATGTTTGTCTTGGTTTGGATCCATCTTTCCAATAATGAACTTTTTTGCTTCAATATTCTTGTTGCTACAACAAATGAATAAAAATCTTGTCAGAGTGCTAAAGAATTGCAGAAGAGAATGTTAATAAAAATTACTAATGTTTCAATAGTTTAAAGATCTTTTGATATCAATACTAGCCAAGAGCTCCACTAATGTAAATACAGACCTGAACTTACTCAATTCTTGCTTGATAGAACTTCATATTTATATAATTCAACTTCTCCTCTTTCTATAGGGGTTTTGGGGTTTTGGGGTTTTGGGGTTTTGGGG